ATGAATAGAAATGCTACATGGCACCAGCAGTGACGGACCTGGGAGACAAATGAATAGAAATGCTACATGCCCAGCAGAAAAGGGCGAAGCACCCAGCCTGGGAGATAATGAAAAAAAGTGGGAGACAAATGAAAAGAAGTGGGAGACAAATGAAAGGAAGTGGGAGACAAGCTAGCCGGGAACCCGACCACAAGCACCCAGCCTGAGAGACAAATGAAAAGAACTGGGAGACAATTGAAAAGAAGTGGGAGACAAATGAAAAGAAGTGGGAAACAAATGAAAGGAAGTGGGAGACAAGCCAGCCGGGAACCCGACCACAATCACCCAGCCTGGGAGACAAATGAAAAGAACTGGGAGGCAAATGAAAGGAAGTGGGAGACAAGCCGGCCGGGAACCCGACCAGACCATCCAGCACCAAGGCGACCATTCTTTAAAGCATTGAGAACCCCTAACAGTAAACTGTTTGGGGAAAAAAACAGAACAGGGAGGCTGGTAATGTTTTCGGGTTGGTTAATATTCTATCTACTCAAGCAAAATCAATTGTAGTTGCATATGGTATACTGTATATTAACATATCCAAAGGGGGCTGATTTGGTAAGGTCGGTGCTGATTTGGTCCGATCATCGTGAACGGGAGACGGGAGATTTTTTTGAGTGAAGAGCGGAGACTGGGGTGCGGTTTGAAAGGGGGGGTTGTGCTGTGAAGCACCTCGGCTTTTCTTGGAGAAAAAGCAAAACGCATACCAAACTCATACTATATCATGTTGAGACACGTGATTATTGTCATATCATATTATATCGTGTGGAAAAAGATCCCGAACACATATCTTGACATGATATCACAAATACAGTATATAATATCATATTATTGTATCATGTCAATATGGTCAATGCTGAGATCAGTGGAGCAGTTCCTGAGCAGTCTTGAGGTGGTTGAAGCTTGCTATTGTTGCTACACATGGTTGGCGGCCAAGGATGATGCACACTATGCACACCTGTTCCTTGGGTTTGTCCCAACCTGTCACAGTCGTCGGTCAAGAAGAACTATTATAGAGATGGCCTGCAAGTAAAGCATCATCCATTTGGCCTGGATAGACCCAAGACAGGATATATGGGGCCCATGGGGATTGTTTGAGAATCTTTTGCATATCCATTTAAGCCGCTGGCTGGAGCAAATAAACACAGAGATGTCTGGAAAATAGATGTCAAAGATGTTCAAAGCACATGACAAAAAAGAGTCGTGGAACAAATTTCCCCTGGCCCTGTATCCGAAAAAGACACGTCATAAACTGAAATGATCTCCAAGAGAGTCAAGAGAGAGAGAGAGAGAGATGGCCGACGTGTTCAGGCGAGGAGGGTGAGGCCTCGCTTCCGTCGCTCGGGAGGCAAGATTGGGCAGATCTTTGGAAAGAGTGACAGCGACCTCCTGTTGACGGTGCATGCTGACCAGGAGGTCATCCGATCGGAGAAGGCCTGGTACGAGCGTTAGTGACCATTCGTTTCGAGACAGGCGGGTCATCCCGAACAGCCGGTTGTTCAATGTCCACATATCTGATTAACAGATCAAATAACTAGGCCCCATTTCCTTTATGATAGGAGAAAGGAAGGCTGGAGGTCCAGGGGTAAAAAGAGTTATAGGTTTATTTAGGGTGTGTTTATAGATATGTTTTTGGATTTGCTTATAGCTTTATGCAGGGTATGATTCCTAATTATATGTCGACTTTAAGGATTTACACTACAACACCAGGTCAACCATTTTAAAAGCGGTCTTGGACTTTCAGGGAATCTGTTAGACCCAAACTCTTGGTTCAAAATCCCAAGTGGATGGAAATTGAGCCAAGATGCTGTGGGGTAGCTAGTAAGCTTGTGCAGGTGACTGGCTGGAATGCATGGGCGAACTGAGTGCAAACTTAGTGGAACCACATACCTTCTTCGAGCAGCCACGAAATACTAGGAGCAAGAAAATATACGAACGTAGCTAGAAGCTCCGCACGGTGGAGGCCATCGCTATTAGGGTTGAGGCCATTCCTATTAGGTTCCTTTTGCTACGTTCGTAAGAAGCGAACAAGTAGCGCGTTCGTGGACCTGCGTGTCGTGGACCTGTCCTCGGACGAAGTGTTTGTTTCTCCCTGTGTCCGGCCATGCTTCTTGCTACTAGCTTCTTAGTTGCTACAGGTGAAACGATTTCCAGTGATACGATTCCCATGGGTCTAAACTCGGAGCCCGGAGCTCGCCCATCGACCAGGTTGACCTACTTAGTCTATTCTGTTTGTCCTTCAACCAGGGTCCCGGTGCCATGACCCACTATATCTCGACGATTCCTTCTCCAACATGGACCAACCCAAATGCTCGGGTCCTCAACAAATAAAAGCGCGTTGAAATTCGACGAGCAAAGGTGCCAGGGTGGTTTCCTCGACTTCGTGGATTGGGAGCAAGTCCACTTGTAAGACGAGTGAAGCAAAGACCTCTTGGTCCAGCTTCTTCAGATGGTTCCGAAGTACCCCATTTTGGGAGGCCAATGTGGCAGTGGCACCAGCTGCTAGCTCAGTTTACTTGGAAGAACCAGCGACATGGGTGACCGGCGACATGAACATCTCCATTTACCTTGGCCTTTGGCCCCGGCGCGACGCTCCGGACTGCGGACTGCCGCCCCAGAAAGACCCCCTGGCACCACGGTAAATAATGCCAGCCCCATGGAGTGTCTGGGAATTCAAAAGACTGTACCAGCTACCTACATTTCCCCCTGCTGATTCCAGCCCGGAAAGATCCAGCTACAATTTCTTCAAACTCACGGGGTCACTCCATTGCCGTGCCACTTTTGTGCCACTGTTTGTGCCACGTGTGAGACCACGCGTTCTCTTGACACGAGGTGAAGACCCAATACGTCCCTGCTCCATCTTGCTCCGTTCGTCGCGATGCCTCTTCAGCCCCGTTCGTAGCGGTGCTTGCTCCGCTCCACAGGTGAAGACCCAATATGCTTGGACTCACCACTTCTTCTCCCTGTGGGAGTTGGCCATTTCCCGCCGCTTCGTGCCCATGTTCGATGCGGACCACGGGCCCCTCGGTCCGCGGTGGTGAGATGCCTCGGTTGGAGGTGGAGGGCTTCACCAACGCCTGGAGCGTGGAGGGGTGCGTTGCGGTTTGGAGGGGTTCACCTGGAGCCCGCCCCGTTCAGTCTAGGTTGATCTCCCGAAGTGTTGTTCCATTTTGCCCAGACACTCCATGTATGCCATATTTACCTACATTGGGGTGGTTTGGGGGGTCAATGTAGGCATATGCTAGTCCCATTAGTCGTGTCTGGGTTAGTTCAAGAAGGTCGTACCGAGGTGTTTCGTTGTTCCGGTCTCCTTCACTTCTGCGTGTGTCGCTCCCTCGCCGCTGACTGGAGGCTCTACTTCGCAGGAGACTGGATGCAAGGTGTGGGGCACGATGATGCGATCAAGACGCTTTGGAGAAGAAATGGGCAGAATGAATGCAGAATCCAATCCACAGCAGATCCAAGAATGAACACACTCTGACACTTGTATTCAGTTAACTCAGTTCCCAGGTCAAA